GATTGAACAATGCTTTGATGTGTTAAGCTTTCAGTTATTAGTATGTTAATTACTTAAATGATTATAGGTACAGCAACTGGCCGCCAGTACAGCACACTGAGCCACACACCATGTTCAGAGCTAAGCCACCGCACTGGCACTGCTATCAAGCGTTTTGCAGCCAGCCAAACCTGGATCAGAACAAAGAGCTGTGAGCCCAGAACTATCCTCTTACAGCCTGGGCTTTGGAACACACAAGTCGCACACAGGCACTGACACCACACAGCGATCAAACAGAAACCTACACAACCCTACACTACAGCTCCAGCCATTTACAGTACATAATGAGCAAGTTGGAGCCAAGTAAGGAAGCAGAATACACAATGCAGCACCTTGGAAACCTCTCATCTCACACATAGCACTCAGGCAAGACTTTCTCGGCGCAAGACAACCCACTTCCACATTTACAAACAGGTAATCCTTGCGGTTCAGGAAAATAATGAAAAATCTGAATAACTTCACTTCTACAGTAAAAATAATAATCTTACTCTACTCTATAGCTTAGAATATTTTATGAAATATATTGCTATGATATTTACACAAAATGAAAGTAGACCTGACCTTAAACACAGCAGCTGTGTTTTTCATTTCTATGTGAAATTTAAACAAATGGGAAAACGTGCAAAGAAACAAAAGTGAAGAGTCTCTAGTGGCCAAATGGTTAAAAACCAGTGAAACTAAAGTGAAGAAGCTGACAGATTTAATTCGGAGTTTGTAGCTTATGGTGAAAACTAACCGTTTTTGAAGACCTCAGTGGAGTTACAAAAGTTGCCCTGGGCTACTAGAATTGAAGCAGACAGAGGTTTTTAAGATTTTCTTGCTTTCTCACAGAATAGCTGCTGCTATTGGAGTCCCGTGTAAGAGTGTGCTAGTATATGCATATTACATCTTTACCCTAGATGACCCTTAATGTCTTTTGTTTCTATTGCAGAACAATAGAGATAAGATAACGCCTTTCAATGAGGATGTGTGTTTTGTCTACAGTTTTTCAAAGATGAGAGGCTCTAAATTGATTTGTGAAGTGTAAAACCACAGCACCATGCTAAACAAGGTTAAACACAACAACAGTTAGAATTATGATTACTTAGCACTCTCGAGATACGAGCTTGTTTACTGCAACAATGCAAACTTCTGCTGCAATCAATCCAAGATTCCACACCACTGCATCTTCTACCTTGCGTGTCCCCACGTTCTCTTTCCTATTACATCATGAGACAGCCACATGTGCTTTGGAACTCTTCATCACTCATACTTTCCAGACACCATTGCATTGGACCTACTCCCTCTCCCCATTTCCTCATTCTTCACAAACTGTCTACAACTTGGCTGCCTTCACTCCTAATTCAAAAACTCGTATAACCCAGATTCTCAAAAAATTATCCTGAACCCTCCTATTCTAAAGAGTATACTCTACAGGAAATAGAATATAAAGTAAAGTATATTCTAGAATTATCACTATCACTGTGTCAGTGAAAGTCCGGAAATATATTGTACTGCTCTTATTTGGACTGATTCCAGCGCAGCAGTACAGTATATTTTCTATAACATGGAAATTTTTTGCACACCTCCTCAAGACCCACATCACTAATTTGTCTGGCTAATGACATCAAAAGTAATTTATACTTGAATCCACTTATACAGCTGGGTATTTTACATGAAAAACCTTGCTCAAGGGTACAATAGCAGTGTCTCACCTTTGAACCCAAAACCTTCTAGGACCCTAACCACTGTTGTTCAGTTTGTGTGACTTAACCCTGAAATTTCAGTGCGTCGAACTGTACCACTTGTATTTCAGGTACTTTGGCATGTACTTTGTAACTGCTTGCAGTTTATTTTATGTCACTTGTTCTAGTTACTGTTTTGTGATATTGGTGTTTTAATTTAGTTCGGTTTTATACCTTTCTCTACATTTTGTTTTTACACTATTAATATTTTACTGTACTTGTTCTTTGCTTTAGATGAAAGTGTCTTCTAAACCGATGAATAACAATAACTACAATATACAGCCTTGTTAATTATATACTGTATATCATGACTCCATAATCACTTCATTCTTTTTTTCCTTGCTTAAAAGCCTTGGAAAATCAGGTAATAGTTTTAAGCTATTTAGATATCGTTTTATAAAAGACAACAACAACTTATTGTAGAAGAATATAATTTACTGAATGATAACCACTGTCAAAGAAAGCCTCCTGGCATTAAACATTTTCGGTGAGTGAACAGGCTATGAACCAAACCATGCACATTCTGCTTCTTCACAGCTTTTTACAAGACAGATCAGCACAAATTTGTTGCTTACAGCACAGACTTGCTTACAAAAAATAGTAAAAGAAGGCTACGTTGGGCTTTGACCTTGAAAAATTCAGAAACATACAATATAGAACCATAGAGTATCTGATGGACTACTGGTATCACTGAAATAAAGAGGTGTGATCTCATTACCTTACAGGACAATAATTCCTTTTCAGGGGTGGGGCAAAAATGGTGCAATCAAACTGTAAAAATGAGATGGTTCAAGTGGCTTTATTGAAGCTTTTTTGAAGCCATGGATCAACAGTGGCAACAAGCCAAAGCAAACTGAAGTATGTGTATTTCCACTGGAATAAAACCCACCACCTCAGGCGAAGACAGCTGCTTTCAATGACCTGCCTGTGTCCTTGTGGGGGTCCCGGCCACTTTAGGAGAGGGAAGAGTATGAAGTTGAGTGCTCCGTCTTTTTCATTCGATAAATCTTCCAATCTGCTCATTTTCTCAATTCAAAGCATTTGCAAAACTCAGAACAATAGTATTACTGCCCTTTCATCTTTCCCATTGCAGCATAAAGAATGTTTTGGGTGGGCAGCGTTTCATGTAAAAAAAATCTAATTGAGTTTGTTCAAACAACAAAAACCAAGAGGAGCAAAAAATGCAGATCTTTGAAAAGGCGTCCATTTTAAGCAAGATATTTTTATTTCTTCTCCTCCCTAGTTTTAATACAGACAGTACCAAACACAGACACTACTGAACAGCATGCTCATGACCAGATCATCATTTATATTTATCAAATAGTATATTTCTTGCCAATTACTTCTGACTTGAATTTGACTTGGCTCTTGTTTTTATGGTTTTATCATTGCAAAAAGCACAATGTATTATAATTATTATTATAAGTTCCAGGAGTTCTATACTTTACTCACCTGACCACATATTGTATATGCCTCACTGGAAATACAACCCAATATTTTCTTTTAATTAATGGATTGAAATTTGACATATTTTTGTATTAGGAGACTGTGAATGCTATTAAAAGTCACCATAACGCTGAAAGTTGTTCCTTTATAATACATATATAAACCTATTTCACTGGTCAGTGATTTATGATATGCTGATAATACCTAATAAGGGCAAAACACGTCTGCGGTTGCTACCGAAATCTATACAGTATATGCAAAGTGGAGTTAGTCTGTTTAGGTGTTTTTGCTTTCTGGCATTGTGAAACAGCGATAGATAATGAATATTCACATTCTATAATTCATAGAACCTTGAAAGATACAAGGTGTTCCTTGAATTTTTTTTTTTACTTTATTGTTGCCTCTGCTGTTATTTACATTTGTTTCAACTGCCTTTAATGAGCTACCCAACCAGACTCCCTGGGATCCTTCAAGTAAGATCATGGACATGATCTTCAAATTTCAAAACTACTAGAAACTGAGTAAGAATAGCCAAATACAATCTTCTCTTTAGTACCCTTTCTTAAAGGCTTCTTCTCCTTTGTACCCTTTAAGTTTCAATTCATTTGCTACAGTGAGATTAAAAAATAAAATTGAAGCTCTAACTTCTAACATTACAGTATTATAGAAGACACAATATTAGTTGCCTACACCTTTCTGCTGGACTGCAGGTAGTTCAATGCATAAATTGGAACTGAATCAAGCTGAAAACCTTTTTTAATGCCAATATCAGAAAAGTAAAGATTGCCACAGCATAATAGAGGTAGATGGGAAGATAGACAAAACTGCTACAGCTATCAGCTTTTGCTGCAAAGTATTCCATTATGTGCATTTTATAAGGATATCTCTGGTGGCTCTATAAGGAGTAAAGGTTGTGTGACACAACCAGGGGCTCATTGCAGCAACAGGCCTCTTTTAAACAGACAACACAGGCACTCCTTAGGCAAACAAATGTTGTTCTTAATTTACATAAGCAAGAAACCCGAACTTTCCTAGAGTTTAACTTAACTCATCCCAGATTGTCTTCTCTGGAAATAGCTGGGCAGCTAAGCTGCGCAACAGCTTCAAAACCAAACTCTCTGAACTCACAAAGTCTAAATGTTTTGGGGTCAGTCACTTCCTGTCCTCTCTGGTTCAGAGCATACGAGGGAAATCTCCTGTGCTCTCCAGATGTCAGATATAGAGTGACCCTACTACTTGCATTTTCTGCTACTTGCATTTTCCTTCCTCCAACTGACCAAGCGACAAAGGGCACTGCTGCCACCAGACGTGATGTGAAAAGCAAACGTGTGGAAAGGGAGAGCCTCATGTGTGTGTTTCATGCTGCAGGTAGGATGACAGGCACTGATTGTGCAATTGCATGCCAACACTGAAGTGAAAACATACAATTCCTTGTAGTACTAAGGAACTGAGAAATTAGAACACTGCTTCAAACTCGTTTGGTGCAATAGGTGGGAAACTGAGGAAACATATTACTTGCTATCCAATAAACACTGGACACTTTATTATAGCCACTCAGACTGTAAAGAAACTGAGGTTAAGGATGTTTATTGGGAGTTCACCTCAATGGATCAGGATGTCTAGTAAATGCACTTGATTAACAGCTATATGTATAAATACATTGCTATTACTACTACTATTGGTATCGTTGCACACTCATTTCTATAATAATATTAATGTTTTTTACCACTTCATCAAACAGGCCTTTACCTAATAAGCTAATAAAAGCCAGGCTGCCTGAGGCACACTTACCCTCTTCTGCTCTCTCACATATATCATGAGCTCCTCTCGTGCTTTGGCAACACCTTCTGCAAGTCTATTCTCACCAGCCTGACGCTCTTCATCTATGGCTGCTTTCAGAGCTTCCTGCAAAAACAGAAGTTTCACTGCATTAGAAAATTATGTGTGTTCAAAGCTGTCTTGATTTGAGGCAAACTTTATTTTGAACTCCATTCTAGGCTACATGCTTGGCCACTCTTGCACAAATGGGACAGAAATATATTTGACTCAATGTTGCCTGGTACATTGTTCTTATCATGTTGGAAGTGTTTCACAGGGGGAGTTAAGTCTAGTTTAACTCCAACAATGGAGCACTCTTTTAACGAAGTAAAAAAGAATGACATCTGTGGTTCTGTGTCTCAACCTTCATAAAACAGCCACTATCAGGAGCTTGTATTCTGTGTACACCAGATTTGCCAATTACTTCCTCTGTGTAAGAGGTCAAGTCAAAGCTAATAATTAAAGATCAAGCATTTAAACAATGGCAAAATCTTTGGAAATTACACAAACGTATTATATTGTTTCTAGATTAAACATTGATCCCAATTTTATGAATGTAGAGGCTTAAAGGTACAGGATCTGCCAAACAAGGGGCAACATTATTATAAAAACTCTTTTTAAAAACACTGTGGTTTTAAAAGATTAAAAATTGGAATTTTATTTGCATTAAAAAAGATGTGCAGAATGTTTTGCACTTTGATGGGAACCTTTCAAAGAGGCTACGTAAGAAAGTTAGGTTCTAAAAATGAGAAATTATGTCAATTTAGCTTGTTTGGTTGTATGAGCTTTAGCAACATGGCAGGGAAGCTTGGTTCAGACTCTCATAATTAGTTTAAAGAGATAACCCAAGTTTTCCAGCTTGAACGCATTTTCCTTGCATCAAAAATGTTTCCCTGTTTATTCTGAAGAAGTCCATTGGGTTGATATGTCAACACCTTTGCAAATTTTGAATAGTTTTAGCAGGATCCATTGCAGTCTTCTCTGTTCAAGAGAGTTTGTCTTTTTATTGTTTTCTTGAAATGTGTTTAACAAGAAAGTGATGCATTAAAATAGCTGTGTTTCTCATCTGTATAGCTTATTTTTATTCTACCTGCAACACTCTCCACTTGTCTACATTAAATGTCATCAGCCAAGTGTTTGTCTAGTCCTGAATGTTGTCTAGAACTTTCTGAATTTCCTTTTTAGCTTCTACAAAAATCTAGAATCTATATATATTAAACTTAAATTACGAAGACAAGCAGGTTTACCACAGATTCCTATGGTACTTCACTTATTATATTACCCCACAAGAGCATTCACCTCTTATTTTTATTCTTTGTGTTTTATCTATTAATCAAATTCATGCATTATCACTAAAGCTTACCACGTAAAATTTATTTTATTTTTTTAGGATATAGTTGTTCTGAAGATCTAAATAAAGCATGTTATATGATCTGTTTATATCTATGCTCTGCTCCTGTTTATTCAAAGAACTCTATAATTAGTAAAGTAAGAGCTTCCTTTTATGCAGTAAAATCTAAATTAATTCTGACTACCTCTAGAATCCTATTGCCATACAAATGATCTTCTGCTTTATTTCTAATTATTGTTTGAATAACCTTTCATTTAATAAAAGTAAGACTTATTGGTTTAATTTTATCACCCTTTTATGCTTGGATGCTACATTAGCAATTTTCCAGTCAATGCATATTACCCCCTGTATTGTATCACAGAGATCTGAATGACTGTTGTTAACTATCTATGAATAACATCTTGTTTCATCAAGTACAACAGTTTGAATACCACCTAACCCTGAGGATCTCTTCATCTCAAGAGCTCTTAATGCCTGAAACACTTCTTCCTCTTCTGTGGTAATATATACTGTATATACGAGTAGTGGACAAATAAATGTATGCGCCAATGTTAAGTCACTTAATAGGGTGTTGGGACATCATGTGAAACCAGAACAGTGCCATGGTACTGGATTCTACTATCCACTGGAAATCTACAGGAATGATGCAGCAACTCTCTGCACAAGAAAGTCAATTAACTCAGGCTTGGTTGATGGAGGTAGAAACCACTATCTCAGGCATAATTTTAGAAAAAGTGCTTATTTTGATTCAGGTCTGGTGACTGAGAAGGCCATAACTTAAAGATAACACCAGTTTGGATGAGGATTTTGTCATCCTGGAAGAGATGAGTATAGAGTTATCCAAAAACATCTGCGGCTGTAACTGCAACTAAAGGTGTTGTTACGAAATATCAAGGGCACGGGACTGAATATGTAAGCAATCTGTTATGCCGAAGCGAACCAGAGCTTGCAGCCCTTGGTCTCCACAGTCAAATACCTCCCGGTGCCGTGACAACTCATTTGGGTTAGCAGTCCCAGCCACCTGCTCTCACTTTACAGTAAATTATCTCAATAGCTCCAGTTTACTTAAATCCTGATATGCCTAGAGTCCAGCACTCTGTCATGGAGCTTCTTACCTCGTTAGAGAAGTACTCTCAGCACAACCAGTCTGCCCGAAGAAAAGTGCCTGGTTCAGCCCTTCAGAATCTCCCTAAATCAGAACTGCACTGCCAGCCAGATTCCCTTCTGCCCCCTGTTCTCTACCAGGTGCAGTTACTGGTTCTCCAGTCCTGCTAGGCTGTGCAGCTCCCCTGCTCTGCCCTGGCTGTGCCAAGTCCTTTCAGCCCAGCTGCACAGAGCATGTCCTGCTTCATCTGTCTTTGTCTGCACAGAGCATCCCCAAGATCTCACCTCTGCAGTGCCTCACGGGGACCAAGCAAGTGGATTCCTCAGCCTGTCCCACAGACGTCTTATAACAAATTCAACAAAAACTCTTACCCTTAAATCATCAGTGTGAGCAATCTGGTTTTCAATAAATTATTCAGTTTAAAAAATGAAATTCTATGATTTGTTGATTTGACAAAATAGTACACCACAGGAAGGCATTTTGTAAGTACATTTTTCATCTGTAATTTACTTAATCAGTTTGAGAAAGCTTGAATCGGGTTTTCATATTTTCTATTTTAATAAAATTAGTTTATGTGACAAATACGCAGCCTACCTACTTAGCTACGTTGATACAGCGCGTGCTAATGCTTGAGCGTTCATACTCCTCTCGAGCTTTCAGAGACACAGCTTAGTGCCACATTCGCCAAGAGAACAAATGATCGAAAATGAATACCTCGCAAAAATCAAGTATTATGTCATGGCTGAAAGGGATAGAGGCCAAGAGTACTGACGCCAGCTCCGACAGATCACGCACACCTGTTGAGAACGAGGAGGATTATACATCGGTCACCGACACTAGCTCTGCTTATTTTGTTATAGTTTATTAAGTCTTTAAGTTAAAAAAGTCTTCCACAATGATCATTTAAAGGACTGTATAGGCACTGCAAATATTTACTTTGGATTTCATACCATTTGTCATTTGTTCGCTGGCTTTTCTAAAAATTGTGGTATGCTTAGCATGGTGGAAAATGTTAAGTGAATATAACCCTAAGTGTTCTGCCTAAAAGCTGACAGGGATCATTTTTGAAACTTTGCAAATTCAGAAAAACAATTCCACTGTAACTTCCAAGAGCCAAAAAGTTTTCTTTATGCTAATTATTAAATTTTCGTCAGAATTCCACAGAACTCAAACAAGTTCTACTCACTCAAAAGACTCACTAGTTTTAGTGACAGCTGTATTTCCGCTTTGCCAAAACAAGAAAGAAATAAGACAATATATATTTTTAGGTGAAGGCTGGAAGTTCTTTGAAATTACATACTGTAACTGTTCTGTAGGGAAGAGGTTGAAAAAGGGTCAAAAAGGAGTATCTAATACTGAAGAGGGCAGTATGAATGTATGGTCAAGGTTTTAATTAAAGATTCTGGAGGGTTGTGGTGTTGAATGATTTTTTTTCATGCTGCCATGATAAGGCACAGTGGCATAAGATTTCACATTTCAGCTCAATGTCTAATTTTTGTATGTCTAAGCTACTTCCTGTTCAACGTCAATCTAAGGAGATGCATCAATACAGAGTCAGACACCAAAATACCTGGTGCAGCTAAATATTTTTTAACTTGAAAAATGCCTGTTTTTTTAAGGCTACCTGGAAAGATAATTGGAACAACCTTCCAAGAAGAAAATATATTAAAAAAACAAATTTCTAAAAGCAGGGGGATACTTCCATGAAATTACTGGTTGAATTCAATATTTACAGGAAACAGTGATATTTTTGGCATACAAAGTTACAAATTGTGGTCTTTATTTTTCTGCAATTATGAAAAGAATTAAAAAATTTGATTTTCTGCCCTCTTTTATTAAATGTTTGATTTCAGATTACACAAACACTTATTCTTGAGAAATCATTCTTAGCAGTTTTCTGTCCCCGATGTAGAAAAAGAGAATTGTTAGGGATTCCCCTCCTATTCTAACATACAAGATGTTGTCCAGATTATCCCAAAGCATTGCAGTCGGGAGGTTTCATCTCTCTTATGTCTTTTTAACTGGGCTAAAATGTGTGCTGTGGTATCTTTTTAGTACAGTGTGGCTTTCTTTACTTCAGTGTGGCAAAGGGGAAGGATTTACTGTTACTCCCAGACAGACGTTCACAGCTTGTGCTTGGTGGACTCAGTGCAGACTTTTGGCAAGGCTGAAATATTGTCACTGGCATGGCATCAAACCCACGAGACTCACATCCAACACTACCTACATAAACCCCTAGGATATTAGGATGATAAATCTCCAACATTTAGTGGTAGAACAAAAAATATTGGCCTTGCTGGGGATATTAATTTGAATACATTTAGAGAGAGAATGCATTCTGGGGGTTTTCATTCAACTATATCAATATTGAACAAAACAGAGGAGAACTGCAGGATGATTTACTATTAGAGCATTAGTTACAATATGACAGGGAAGGCTTTGTCATGCTCAACAGGGTAACATTAGAATTCCTTGGCAAAAACTCAGCATCTTTGATTGAAATGGCCTCAAGCCTCAACCTGTGTTGTGTCAGATCTCATGGAATCTGACCAGATATAATATGCCCTAGGTTTTCACTACATATTTTCATTAAAAATTTAAACTTTTGTTTTCTGTAAACACAATATATAT